TATCGTACCCAAAATATAACAATTACTCCTGTGTGTGTTATAGCCCTGAAAAAAAGAACTAGCAAAACTAAAAAAAATCTCAGCCGCATTTTGGATAGTTTTAACCTAAATTTGAATCAGATGGGTTGGGGTCTTGTGTTCCCTCTTTTCTTCTCTCATTTTCTTCATATTATTTCTTGGCTGCTCCTGGCATGGTTACCTGCTGAAGAATCATTTTTTGGTGTCTGAAGTCATGCCAGGTAGTTTTCAAAGGCTTTAAGTCACATACATGGATCTATTCATCTTACCTTCTCAGACTCAAAGTTAGATATGTTTCTTCTGCTGATTCTGCCCCAACATTTACTTCCCAAAACCATCATAAAAGATCTCATTTACTTCATTTGTATCCCCCACCTACTATTCAACTTGAGTGTTTTCTCTTTCACATCATTTATTTTCCACAGAGCTAGACTTGCTAAAAGCTAGGAGAAGGCTGTCAGAGGCATAGGTCACACAGATCTCTAATGCTTTATGTTTAAGAATTCAAGTCTTTTGTCCTAGTTTTGTAATGCTCTTTCCTCATTTATCTTGGAACACCAAGATAGATTGTCTCTTTGGCACACAGTATTTGGTTTACTCTTGGACTGTTGTGAATTTATCTTGACATATTGCTAAAGTTTAACTTCTTAAATATATTTATCATATCTCATAAACTACTTTACAGCACTGCATTTTGCATGTGGATGAACTGCATATACTGTACAGAGAGAAAGACTGGGAATTCCATATAACAAAACTGGACTGATAGTCTGCTTTTTTGCTCCATTTATAACTAGACAACAGATCCAAGAAGTCAGACGTAATAATGTATCTTATTAAAGTATGACTTTAATAATTTCCTGTGATTTGATACCAGTAAGAAAGTTAGCTTGCCTGTTAATCGAGTTGATTATTGAGTGTGGGTGTTTTCCTTTGAAGGACAATTGAGGAAGATTAGGGAGTTTATTGGTGTCTCAGCAGGACACTTACTCTTCCCCAGCAGAGGTCAGAGGGTCAGGTCCCACCTGGGGTGATTCTGTAAAGTCTCTGTAAAGCCAGCCCTCATTTTACAGGACATTTGTGACCCTGCTTTAATGTCTTTGAAAACTTACATGTACACAGCCAAAGAGTAATAAAAGCCACAAAACATATAGCAATTAAAATATTACCTATGCAAATCTTTTAAATGCTCTGTATGCTGTCTTCATTCACCAAAGAAATAAACAGCTTTATATATTTCTGTAACAAAACTTGTATACCATACAAAATTACTTTTTTTCCCCTCTGCACATCCTTAATGTAGTTCGCCACCTTCAATGTTTGATTTTATTTCGCCTTGGAATTTTTATTTTATGGTAGCTATTGCATGGGGATCATTTGTTTTTGATTCGACTTTACCTGGTTGCAGTGAACATGGACAATGGACCAGCAGAAAAATAAAACTCTTTCTAGGGTTTCAGCTTTAATGTAACAGCTAAATTACATCCTTTGTTCATTATTTTGTTGAGTCACTTCTCCGCAGCTCACATTGTCCATTTTCTAACTAGAGATCTTTCTTTTTTTTCATGGACAGAGTCTGAAGCATATCCTCTGTGCTCCACCTTATTTTTGACACCGAGCTGACTCAGTACAATTTCCAGTAACTGTTACTTAAGCATGTCTACCACCCATATTTGTTTCTTTTCTTTCCGTTTCTAAATTACAGGTTAATAAGATTAAGGCTCTCAGAAGTTTATTTTCAGCAAATAATGGCCTGTACAGAGATTCAATCAGAGTATAAATTGGCACTTGAGCACTAATTGGCTCAGGCCCAACCTAGTTTGCTCTGTCCATAAAGTCTTCTTTACTATGCATCATTAACTAGCAGAGTGGTTAAAGATTTCCCAGCTCAGGTAGAAGCAATCAGTGACTGTAAAGATGTCACAATTCTCAGAGCAGCAGTCTAATTATGGCCCCTCATCAGCTTGCCTTGACTTGTAGCTGAAGGCGGAGGAGACACAACCAAAACTTCAGATCTAGCTTGTGTTTTCTCTCTCGCCTATGATGAAACTTTTTAAAGGCAACATGAACACACCTGTAAAACAGGTTTCTATTCTTCAGCTGGCTACTTTGATTTTTCTTTCTTATTGCACAGAACTGAACTGTGTTTCAGTAACCGTAAAAAAATAATAATACCCACATCAGCATCTGCCCAAATCTCTTCATTAGTCTTATGTAACTTATAACCGGATAACTGAATGTAACCACACCATTTGATATGTCAGATCATGAAGGCAAGGTTGTAAGGATAATTTTATTGATTACAGTTTAGCTGTTGGAGATTTAGTTGTGAGATTACAAATGTCCTCAGGGTTTCTCTGTGCCACTTCAGCAGTTCACGTAATTAAATCAGGCTTTACCGGTCAGACAGTTCATGACATTAGTGGTTTGCACTTCATTTGTTTCATAGGGTGTCCCTTAACTTGGCTTTGTTTGTGGTTAAAGTAGGCGTTAACTGGATGTGACACCTTCTGAATCCCTTGGGCTTGAAGCAGTACACAGCAGTTATTTATGGTTGATCTTTCTCAACCACAAAGGTAATCTCTTATCAGTGAAACTTGGCAGCAGGTTTTGAGATGATTCCTCCCATGCCTCTGACCCCTAGCCAGAACACCAAGCTTCTTCTGCCCAGCGTTACATCAACCCTGTGTGCACAGTATGCTCCCCTTGCGTGCAATATGCCAAAGTTTAATAGTGTGGTTGTAAAAGCAAGAGGATTTTAGTGCAATGTTGTTTCCTACATATGGCTAATCTTCCTTTCTACAGCAGTAACATCCATAAGGAGGAAAGGAAATATCAGCTGTCAGAGACTTATTAGCCACACCACTCTGTTATTAAAGAGACTTCTAAGTTCGACATTAAAGAATACAGTATGTTACAAAAATGATTGTTATTCCTCGGGGTAAAATTGTACAAAGCTGCTGTGCGGTTGCTGTCGGAAATGGGGGTGGGGGTGTTAGGGTGGTTGAGCAGCAGCCAGAAGAATCTTCCCAGTAGTAGTCTGATATCCCCGCAGGTGATGTGAACCTCTTGAGATCTTCAGAGTTACTTCAGTGCCTTCCCTTCAGGCTGACACCTGGACCAGCATGCATCCTGCCACCCTCAATCCAGTGCTTTCATGGACTTTTATGGTTAATTATGGTGCCATTACGGACTACAAAGTAGACTTCATAATTTTGAAGAAGTAATAGGTTTATTCCATGCTGAAAAGAGAAGAAAGAAAACACAACATTTTGGCCGTGGTCACTTGGGTTCTTAAACAGTGTGCACACCTGAAGATGGCTGCACGGCCGAAACGTTGTGTTTTCTTTCTTCTCTTTTCAGCGTGGAATAAACCTATTACTTGTTCCTTTGCAGCCTGTGCATGCTGACGCAGCTACCCACCTGAACATAATTTTGATTCATATATGTTAGATATTTGTTCTTTTTTCAGTAAATACGACACATGCAATCAACTTTGAAAAACACAGCAGGTTAAAATGACATTTAAAGTTTGATTTGTCAGGGTTCTCAGGGTTTGACATCATGCTTCAGTTGGGAAATTTACCCTACAGTTCAAGTTAATCAAGTTTTTTTTCTTTTCAGTACGTGTTAAGGACAAAATTGCCTTGAGGTTTAGCCCCCGTTCCGTGACAATGGGTGTGTGAACATGGCGTGGGCTTGAGCAACAATAAACCGACATGGTTACTGCACTAACCTTAAATTAGTTTCCCAGGGATGTCTGACACCCACCCTCTGAACTATTGTGCATTTGGTATATGAATCAGGAAGTTTGTGTTTTGTGTAATACCTATGAGGTACAGGTCTCACTGCTTGAGTCATACCAAGGATTTGTCAAGAAAATTGATTGTTTTCCAAGTAGTATTGTGCAAAACAAAATAATTAATTAAATGTTAATCATCACTTTTTAATAATCACAGTAATATTGCAATAACTCACACGGGGGGGATCTCTTATTTAAATGTTTGCCTGTAGTAAAATGTCAGGATCTTCACTGTTTTTTCATTTGTATCTAGTTTGTGCTGATGATGGAGTGATAATATTTTATTGATGTTTATTTTTTGGTGATATGCTTTTTTTTCTCACAGTTTAGTTTTCTAAGGCTGTTATGACTTGACTAAGTTCAGGTTGCACTGAGCGCTGGAGTCAGGGTTAAGGCATGGGCTTTGCATGTTAATTTTAAAGTTGATATAAACCTGTTAGTATAATACTAAATATATTTATGTATTTGTCAGACTCCCCAAATTATATGATCTGCGTCAATTGTTTTTTAATGCATTCAGTAAGTAGATTTTAAATGATTGATTGAAAAATGTAAACATATGCCTATCATTTCAGCTCCAAATACTCTTGCTCTCCCTAAGAGGACAAAATATGTCAAAAAGCACATGGGCCTAATGTCCCCATTCTAATTAAAGTCCTTTATGCTATTCATCCTCAACAAAGAAAATGAGCAACAACAGATTATGTACACATAAGTAGATGGACTGTAATAACACATTTTTCTTTACTTCAAATGGCCCTTTCAGGAGAAAACAAATGCACTTTGCTTGTAAAAGCTTCAAATCTGTTGTGATTTAATTCAAAACATTGTAAACCTTTACTGTGTTTAACAATACTTCAACACATCAGGCATTAACTAGCATAGCCTCTTGTCATTAGTCACAGTTAGCAACATCCTGATGTTCTTATGCATGCTTTCCAAATGTTTACATGCTCATGGGAGTTTTAAGATGCGCATTTAAAATGATTTTAAAACACAGACTCTTCTGTACAACTATACGAGAGCAGCTAAGACGCCACACTGTTTAAGAACCCAAATGACCACAATTCTTTGCGCTGCAGGTAACGGAAGGTGGAGTTGGGAAAGCTTGTTTATGTTGCCGTGGTAACAAGACTGTCCGTGAAACATGGCTTCGGAGAGACAGGGGCATGAAACTAAATACTCTTTTAATGTGCTTTCTAATAAAAGGTTTTCTTTTCTACATGACAGACATACTTCCGAACTCTTTATGAAATGGTAATTTTTCCTTTTTATTCGCTATTGAGAATTCACAGCAGTAATAACAATAGAGTGTGCGACTTAAGATGTTGTTTGCGCAACTTTATGGTTAGCAACAAAGCTGGTTGTAATAGAGCTCTTCTGCACACTGTCTCCATTGTATTTATTTTGCTTGTGAAGGAGCATCAAAATAAATTGCAGTTTGGTTCAAGGCAACCGAATTGTGAAATTTGCCTTCAATATAAAGATACTTTATAGCAGAAATGAAACAGAAAAACTCGTCGGCTAAGATGGCAATATTATTCATGCTTGTGGCTCCCGTTCCTTAAGAATTCTGTTGCCTTTATAAGGATTGTTTCTCTATATTTTGCTCTCTTGCTTTCTTTTTCGTGCACAGGTCCATGTTAGGAAGGATTACAGCACAAGCCTTCAATTTCGATCAGTATTTCCACCCTTACAAAAAACATGATTTTGCATTAGTAAGTGAAACAACACTGTTTTCTTTCTCTTGATGCTTTTAGAATTTTTCTTTTTTAACCCTGAGTATTAATGCAATACTTAAGAAACACTTTGTGTACAGATATTTCCCTAAAATAGTTTGTAAATTTCTTGTAATAAGTTCTTGTGTTGGTGCATACGTGTATATTGTTATATTCTAAAGGTTCTGATCAATCTTATGTGTATTGCATGCTTTAATATCTCATGTATTATAACCTGATTGATAAATTGTATTTATTGAGCATTTAGGATTTCTTCAAAGACCCTTGTGTGAAGTCCAATTTGAAAGTGTTAGATGCCTCTGGATTATGGAAGGCTTTAGGTAGAGTATTGATTTTTTGTGAATGACTTGCTTTGTGTTTTAATCTTTGAACAGCACATACTGTATTTAACTTTCACAGTGTTTATGTGTTTCTATGGACATGCTTAAAGAACATTTATCTAATGTGCAAAGCAACAATACCGTTACCATAAGTACTATTAGGATTAACAAACATTTTAGAAGTAGTGTTAATAGAGATTTGGTTTAACTCAAAATAATTTATTTGATAACACAGAAAAAAAGCTACAGACATTAGAATTTGTACCAACTAGCTTGTTTAGTTGTTAGTAACTGTGTTTCTTGAAGATTTTTTTAGCATGTATATTTCAGTTTAGTTTTAATTGTTCTGTTTTGCAGACTCAGAGATAACCAAAGTAAATGTGGAGGCTGTTCCATGCACCAGGACTTCAATGGATCTCTTTGATGCTCTGTATTCATGTGGAATCTTACGTCCTTCAGGCCACATTGTCAAGTGCTTCCATGATTTTTATGCAGATTTTGATGAACTGCGAAACGTGAGTGTTGAAGTTCCTTGTTTTTGCATTGGCTGTAACTACAGTATATAAATACATTGACTCCAAATAGTCTTCACAGTCCAGCATTAGTGACCATTCGATGTACAGTGACTCTGTTTGGCAAATGTAGGACAACTTCGGGGTCTTAGATGGGATTGTCTATATCTTACAACGACAAATCGCTCTGAAAAAAGATATAGATATATAATGATGCTATGACCAAAATCAGCAAAGTTTCTTCATTTTGTTAAGTTATGAGTGGGGGGCTACAATGTAACAGGTCAAGGATATCCATCCATTTTCACCATCTTTGTCTTTGGACTCTGGGAGGAAACTGGAGCACCCAGAGAAAACCCACACAAACACAGGGATAATATACAAACTCCATGCAGATTGCATCCAAGGTACAAAATTGAACCCAGGGCACCAGTGCTGTGAGAAAGTTTTGTTAACCACTGTGCCACCATCAAGGTTTATTTCGCCCTGAAGAGTAGAAAGGACACAACATTCATGCTGTTGAGCCCTATTCATATGTCAAGTGTTGAACTCACAACTTACATTTAACAGCTCTGAGGTGTACTTTATTTACAGTAGGTGTACTGTAATTCAGTGACTCTCGTCTTTTCTGAATATTTGGACCCCTTTTTAATTTCCAGATGTTTTGCAGACCACCAAATGCTACTAGCTACTCGTTTGTGTTTACAATATCTCTGATAGTTGCATAATGTTTATTTGACTGTGGTAATAATGCCCTGAATTCAACGTAATAGATGATATTTTAGCCTCTTTGCACTCATTGCTTGCTGGATTAGGCTCAGGCTTCCCGGTGACCCTGCATTGGAAGAAACAGTTGGAAAAAGATGCATGAATGGATGACATCTTGTACTAAACCATATTCTGTTTACTCTTTTCATTTCTTTATCTGGTTACTTTAATTCTGTGTCATTTGTTAATGAGAGAAATTAATTCCTCTCAATGGAAACTATATTTTTTATCTTTTCGATGCTTGTTTATTCTTTCTATATCCACTTGTCTTTTCTTACACTAAAGATGCTGTTAATTGAAGACTCTGATAATTATGAGATAATTTGTCGGGAAGATCGTGAGGAGTTCCTTTTCCGACTCTTTAAGCATTTCTGCTTGGGGGGGGAGCTTTGCCAATATGAAGATGTTGTCGATCCTTACATAGAGACTACAAAGTCTGTGTACAAGGACCTTATTAGGTAAGTAAATCAACTGAGCACAGTGTAAACACAAAATATATATCAGATAAAAAAAGGAATATTTTTTCATAGCCATAAGGTGTAGCTCCTCCTATAATGTTTGAATGTAAACCAGTGTTTCTTTTCAGTGTGTTTTTGTATGTGACAACGTGGACAATACAGAATGCAAGAGGTTGTAAGCCCATACACAATGCATTTTAGACAACAGGCTTTTAGTAACAATTGTCTGGTAATATTGCCATTATGTAAGTGTGTTTATAGTCTAAGAAAGTCTGTATGCATCAATATTATACAGAAGTATCACACGACATCTATGTCTATGACTTATTATCCTGGTGAAAATAGAACAATGAATAACTTAAAAAACAAATCAGATAAATACAATTAAATCATCTTCCCTTAATTATGGAACCTAATAAATTGTATATACTGATTTTTTGTATTGATACTATGAAAGGAAAAATTAAGTACCTTTACATGTATTGATTGTGAAACTGAAATATGTTTTTCATAGTGTTCAAAAAGACCCTGAAATGAAAGAAATCCTTGTCACCTCTACTGTATTGAAAGTCTCTGCTTATGTAAGTACATTTTTTTTTCTTATGGTGTTGTTACTTTATAATAGTGAAGTGACAAATTACAAATTTTAAACCACAGAGACATTATCTTCCATTTTCTTAATATAGCTGATCCCAAAAACGTTATACCAATTGTATTCTCCACTACAAAGTTCCTTCAATTTGGTAAATATTTGAGACAGAATGAGACAATACTGTATTTCTGTATGTATTGTTGAACACTCTGGGTGTTTCTGTATAAGGGGGTATAAAAGTGGTATAGTCTTTTTACGTAGACTAAATATCTGAAATTCTGACTATATGTAACAGTTTTCATTTAACAGAAAGCTATGGATTTATACAGTATTTTGAAAGATTATTGTTAATTCATGAATTGCATAACATTCTGTCTTTCTAGGATGTTGAAAGTGGATTTAATAATTTTATATTTACAGATACACTAAAAAAGAAGACAAATGGCACCAAAGACTTCTTTAAAGAGCATATCCTAAAACATTTGCCTAAGACATATTCCTACTTATATGCATTGCCATTTTTAAATATTATTTCTCATTCATAACTTCTTTTTCTAAAAGTTTACAGGACCTCTTATCCTAAAGGAAACAAATACAAAAATGAAGTGAGCATTTTACCAAGTGTTCTTTTAAATGTCCGCAGGATGACTCTGGCTTGTGTTATCCTTCATGTAAAGATGAAGAACAGACCTTCGCCTACTTGATTGTTGACCCTTTCAAGCGCCATGTATATGTCCTGTACCATTGCTTCGGAGTTGGATTATTTTCAGTGCCTGAGAAAGAAGCAAAATAAAAGGGTTTAAAAGTTCAACATTAACATTCTGGTTTGTTTTCTTGATTACAGTTATACGGATATGCTTTAGACTTCTGTATTAATGTCATTATTTTACTTCAGTACTGTAGGGGCACAAGAATATCCGTAGCTCAAGAGGATAGGGATATTTAATGTAAAGAAGTTTCTTAACTTTCAAAAAAAGCGCAGCAGTGTACACTAGCTGTTGACACCTGTTGAATGTGTTTAAGAAAAGTCAATATGAAAATCTATGTTCACAGAGTTAGTTGAGTATAGACCTTAACTAAGCTTTTACTGTGTTTAGTCCTCTGGTTCATTTTGCTTTTGACTGTACGGAAGTCTGTTGGGTCGACTTTGACTAGAATGTATCTGTTCACTGTTTCCTAGACTGGATCAAGAACACCAGTATCTTCTTGTAACATGGTGACCAAAGCTGTACTTAATATTCTGTGTATACTGGTTTTACCAATGCATCCTTTGATTAAAATTACATATCACAACATTTTGTTATATATCTATAAAGTCATTTTCAGCTTCTTCAAGCTTAGTGTTTGCCAACTTATGTTTATAATTAATGTTTCTGCTATCTCCGTTTATCCCTCTGCACTTCACTACATTAAATGTCATCAGGTGATTGCCCAGTCTTCATTTTTGTCTGTCATTTGTTTTTCATCTTATACAGCGTTTGCTAATCCTCCTGTTTTGGTATTGGTTTACACTAGTCAAATATGACTAGTTTTCTTACTGTGCCATCAACTAAATCAATGTTACAAATTAAGCAGAATGAGGTCCTAATACAGGCCTTGTGCTGTAGTACTCCCCTAATTACTTCACATCAGTTTGAATCCTTATCTCTGAATGCGTAGTACCTTTAAGAATTATGAGGAACTTTATCAAAAGTCTGTGCTATTATTGCTTGTTTAAAGAAACTGAATAAGTTAGCTCACACCTGAAGAAGGCTCCACGGCCAAAACGTTGTGTTTTCTTTCTTCTCTTTTCAGCATGGAATAAACCTATTACTTGTTCCATTAAACAAGATAGTTTAGCAAGATTAAATCAATGTCGACTATCCTCTAGAATCCCACTGACACCTAAAATATATACAGTACATAAATATGAAAGATCTGTAGTAATTAAATAAACATAAAACATTTTTAACTTTAGTCTCTTCAATAGTCTTTATGGAATGGTAAACTAAAAGACAGTATGCCTCAACGGTCCTTTGCTCACATAAAACAAACGGGGTGTAAAATAAAAGTGGTCTCCAGTTTGAGCAAAAGTGGAATTGCAGGTTCAGCTCAAGCTCGTGATGGCATGACAGATTAACTGTTGCCTTTTGCCTTTTGATAAAGCAGTATTGCTCCTCACAAAAGCAGCATGAATATAAAACAATTGTAAGAAGACTTGAGATGAGAAGCTAAAGGCCATAAGAGCATGGAAGCTAAAACTACCCTCAGGCCCCCTAAGTGGGTGGTCCCTTCAGGGCAGGGCAGAGGCACATGAGGAAAAACACTTTGTGATGGCTGTACCTGTTTTTTTTTACAGACAGAAGCCTCCAGTTTACAATGTGGGCCCTTTTATTACTCTTTCGGATGGCATTCATAATCCCTGACCATTTAAGAGCACACATTTTCCAATTGGCCAAAAGAAAAGTGTTTCCTCCCAATGACTGACCTTCAGTAAAAGGTTGTAATAGTGAAAGTATCCTTTTCATATGTTTTAAAAATAAATAAAGGACACTTTGAAAAATATAACCTACATGATTAATATAATTCAAAGTGCAAAATAATGATCTATAATTTTATCTCTTTTAATAAACAATCAGTATGGTTTGAAAAGGGTATTGCAGGTAAAGTAAAAACAAGACATTAATGGATCCACAAAAACTCTGAACACAACAAAAATCAAATATAAGCTCAGAGAAAAATGTTTTATTTTCTAAAACAACAACATTGCCAGTGTAAAGACAAGTGTTGAATCCTCCACATGAATTTTCATTTGAACGTAAAATAGAAATTTGTCATATGTTTTATGTGTAAAAAGTTAAACTTCAGATATGTGGGCTGTTTCTCATAACAGACGTGTATATATTTTAAAATGACAGCATATGTAAACTTAAGTATTGGGACTGTGTTAAAAGGGAAGATGCAAAGTAACCTTTTGAAACCATTGTTCATGGTTTTACAGTCTCTGAAAGAGGATTAATAAAGATCCATAATCATTCAGTGCCTTGGTGTATGGGAAAGGGGCAGAAACACAGTTCCTATACATCACTGAGGCGGATTCTTGACAAAATGATTTCTCAATAGAATGAAGAGGATGATTTGCATAACAATTATGGGAACCTTGTAGAAATGGCTTTCATTGGCACTGTAGAGGAAAAACATTATTTCTTAATAAAGAGCCTATATTTTACAATCACGGTTCTGTTTTAATGTGAGATAAATTGGATTAATATTTACTGAGAACCATTCTCTAGAGAAATATATTTATTCTCTTCAAAATCAGGATACAATTTACCGTTTTCTTCACATACTTTAAAGCCTTTAAAAAAAACAGAATATTTAGATAGTTGTTTAGAGAATATATTGAGAATTGTACAGCGGAAAAGGACAGTTAAATTAATTTTAAGTTAAATTAATTTTAAGAATGTAGAACTAGAGAGCAACAACAGAATTGTGTCCTAAAACAAAGTATCAATTGGCATTTAGTTATTATTATCATCATAATTTATGCTGGCAATCGTGTCACTGGTAGAACAGTAGGAGTCAACAGCATCGAGATAGACTGGGAATTTAACATGTAATTAAATGTTTATTAATTCACCTTAGGTTTTTTAGTTGACAAAATCTACATTCTAAGTCTACATTTTCTAAAAGGTACTCAAATTAAATGAACCAACTTTGTACAGTAAATAAAATATGTAGAAGTAGTGTTATTCGTACTAATATTCCGAAATGAGAAAAAAAACAATTAAGGATTCAATATTTATTGCGTGTCGAAGATTCTATTTTCTAAGCGCCCCTGGATTCAGGTTTTACCTAGGGAGAAAGTTATCCCACATAAAAAGGGATGTTGCGTCTTTAAACTCCCCACTCTCCCTGATTAATGATGCCAAGCTCCGCCTGCTTCTGACTCAGCGATCACATGAGTCATAAAAGTTTGATGTCCCAGCCAAAGTTTCGGACGAAGTTTAGGAAAACTTAGTAGTTTTGGAAAGGCAGTGATTTGCGATGAGCGGCTCGGCGGTTCGTTTTCGCTGGGGGAAATATAAACCAACCCTCTGAGATTTAGAAGTAACCTAAGTAAAACGGTCTGTAACTTTTGTTTACAGGAGGCAGTCGGTGTTGAGGTATGTTTTAGATTATTGACGATCAACAAGTTTTACATTTATAAGCCGACCCGACTGTAACGGCTGCCTTGGACTGGAAACTGGCTGGACGTCGTTGTGACTTTACTCGGCGTCCTTTCTCGGCTGCAAAGTGAAACAAAAAGAACTTATTCGGGAGAAAAAGAAACATTAAATAACACGCGAGAATACAAGAATAAAATACAACGGAGGAATTGGAATAGCTTTTTGGAATAAGCTTTGCAGAGTCTATATGATCCGGGTACTCATTGCAACACTTGGGCTTTCCATGTTTTTGGATTGATTTCTTTTCTTTTTTTGGGGGGTTACCCCACTTCGGGCACCTAAGGTTTTTTTTTTTGTTGTTGTTAGTTGTTGTTGTGTTTGGGAAGGATGGATCCAAGCCAGCACAACCCCCCCGCCGGCCAGCCGATCGTCCATGTTCGTGGCGATTCGGAGACGGACCTGGAAGCGCTGTTCAACGCCGTCATGAACCCGAAAAGTGCCAACGTGCCCCCGTCAGTCCCCATGAGGCTGAGGAAACTTCCCGACTCCTTCTTCAAACAGCCCGAGCCAAAGTCGCACTCTAGACAAGTAAGATTTCCCTCTCTTCCCCCACCAACCCCCCTCCGTCTCCCTGCCCCCCTCTCTTTCCTTGTAGTCCAAAAGTTCAGGCTGAAGTGTGCTGGCATTTCAAAGGCTTTTTATCTGGACCAGAAGCGGATGGGAGTTTTTTTCTTTATATATTTTAACAAATTCCTGATGCGTTATGTAGTTTGTGAGCAGAGGTCGCCATGCTTAGGGTTTGTTTGTTTTTTTCTGCAGAGTCCGGGCAGCGCCTCTGTTTTATTTAAGCATGCCGACCTCCTAATACGTGGTGCGTATCCGATATTTGTAGCTCGGATGGCTCGCTACGTACAAGTTGGTACCCACGTAATAATTTTCACTCCTGCAAGAAGGAGGATTGCCGGGAGTGGTGGTGGGGGGAGAAAACCCTGATAAATGTAATCCATTTCACAAGCAGAAATTGTTAGAGCTGGTATTTTTAAAAACAACAACAAAAAAACATCTTTCAAGTAAAAATATTATTAAAAACAAATATTTTGGGATAACAAATGGGGCTGACTTCGGGCAGCTTTGATTTGTACCGGATCATGTCGAGTAAGAGAGAGCCTACCTTTTAACTTTAATGGAAAACAGACTGTCATAACAAGTCGTGGGCCGTATTTTGACTTCGCCTAAAGGTTTGGAATACATCATCCAAGCCGGGCTTCGGTGTGTGTGGTGCTCGCACACACAACCCGGGGAAGATTAAAGCGCATAAATCAAGGAAGGCCTCTATTTCTGCTCTGACTGAGCTCTCTGGGGTTGGGGGGGGGGTATATTCCTGTAGGCTCCTAAGAGATTGAGTAAGGGGATACTCGTCTGTTGTAGGTTTAAAGACAACGGTGTCTGAAATGCTCTTTCATGCCACAAGCTTAAAAAATAACCTTTAGGTCTCAGTTTTTTTTTTTAAATTAAAGCTTTGTAAATAACGGTAGCTGCTAGGTTTTCGTGTTTAAAAAAAAGTGTTACTGACGCATTTCATATGAATTACCCCTTAGAATCACACCTTGTTTAATCTTCGCGACTCCCCGCTGAGTCAGTTTCTTTATTTTAATGCTTCGACACTACTGGTTTGATATTCACTGGGGTCTCGCAGTCTTGTCAAGTGCGCTGCCCTGACTCTTCAGTGTGAGTCACTGATTTGAAGGGAATGGTGGAACAGTGCACACAGCCTTGGGCCACAACTTTCTGTATCCACATCACCCACTGCTTGCAAAGTTCTTCACAAGTTCATTCTTGCTTTCCGTGTCGTGGAAGGTTGGCTTTCACAATGGGGAAACCTTGTATACAAAAAATCTGATCTGTTTGAGTTGTTAATGGGGAAACCTTGACTACATAATCAGACAGGAATCGGGAGTTCATGTGATATTCGGTTTCTCTCACATTTAAAGTGAAATGCAATTCGTGTGTGCGAGTACATCTTAAAAGTACTTGTGTAATAGGTCATTTGTGAACCTGTATTCCACTGGAATTATGACCAAGGTCGTGGTATAATGACCTGCTCCCAGCTTTTAAAGCTTGCAAGTGTTAACGCGTCTTGCCAACCCCAAAATGATGACATTTAATTCAGTTCTGTGAAATGGGAATGAGGTGTTGAAAGTTGCAATTATCCCTTGCCTCCCTCCCCTCCCAAACTGTCATTCATCCCTTCCCCTGTGCTTCTCCTTCCTGTCCAGGCCAGCACGGACGCAGGCACAGCTGGGACGTTGGCACCGCAGCACGTCCGAGCGCACTCCTCGCCCGCCTCGCTGCTGAACGCCGTGTCTCCCGGCTCCCTGGCAGGGGTGATCCCGCCCGGGGCGCCCCCGCAGCACCTCCGCCAGGCCTCCTACGAGATCCCCGACGACGTGCCTCTGCCCCCGGGCTGGGAGATGGCCAAGACCCCCTCTGGGCAGAGATACTTCCTCAAGTGAGTGTCGCCACAGCTCCTGATGCTTCTCCAGTCCAGTCCACTCCACCGCACCCCAGGGGCCCCCGTTCGGTTTGGTTTCCTTCAAGGTGCGGCCATTTCATAAATCGGCTGTCCACCTTGAATTAGTGCAGCCCACTCCTTGACAAGCCCGGCGCCACGGTCACTTCCTGTTTGTACAGGCAGGGCTCCCCACCCCCAACTAGATCTAGATAGAGTGTTGTCGTTTGATAGCACTTTTATTCACAAAGAAAAGTTGCGAGCTTTTAATCTGTGGGTACTTTTCAAAAAAAGGTTTGCTGAAGGTTGATCTTTTAGTAGAGCTTGGGAAAAATGCACTGTAATCGCAGCGGAAATTTCACTTAGTCTGCATGTTGTGCACTTAATGGGTTAGAGGTTGACCAGTAGGGATTAATGCCAGTCATTTACCATTTTAGGCAGCATGTAGTTTTAGTACCCTTACCCTTTTAGGATAAAGATTTAGATTTCATTGCCTAATGTGAAATGAATGCCCCAGTCCTTCTGTACTCCTGATCTGATCACTAAGCAAGAAGTCACTTTTGGATGACACTTCTTTGCAGTGGCTCAGTTTCTGGAAGTGGATTAAGTCAAGCAACCCAAACCCAAATTGTGCAGTTAAAGCTGTAAAGCGCTTTAGGCGTTCTGAATGAAAGTGATTATCTGTTGCATTCTAATACAATTCAGAATTCTTTGCTATTTCTATCCCCTTTTCCCAGCCAATATTGTGCTTTACTGATACGTGTGTGCTTTACTGTACAATGAAGAGTATGCTATGGCAGTTGACATGGCTTTTATAGTAGGTTTGTGCAAAAATCTTAAATGAGGTCTTGATGCAAACTTGTATCCCAATACAGAATAGCTTTTGAATCTTCAATGTTTTTTTCTTTTTCTTGCTTGCTGTGCTTGTGTAAATGTAACTTTTTTTTTGTCCTTGGGAGAACATTTAGGGAATCAAACAGCATAATGTGCATCTTGAATGACATTATTCTTTCATAATTCTTCAAGTTTCCCCTGTTTGATTTCTGAATTGAACCAGGACTTAATGACCGAGTTAATGAATATGGGTTAAAAAGCTATTTTTCCTGCTGTCCTTGTGATTCTTCAGCTCAGTTCTTCATAGGTTTTAGACGCCAACTGACTTTGTTGACCCACAGAACAGTTTGTTCAAGTAATGTAAGTTTAAGGCAGGTGCTGCTTGCAAAATGGACTGCTCAAGTATGATTTCATGGTAACATGTTGTAACTTAACAGAAGAGCAATGCTCTGCAGAAGATTAGGGCCTCATTTAGGGTGATCTGATTGACTAATCATCCCACAGTGTTGCATACTCTTAAAGTTCATGCCCTGACTCGACATGGTAATAAAGGTTTAATTATCAGATCTTCAAAACATATGGGGGTGAATTGTACTTGGTATATATATTTCTCTTGTTTATAGAAACGTTTGGGTTATACAATATAGGAGCTAGGTTAGGGATTTTCTTTTTTAAAAAGCATAAACCTGTTAGAATTTCATATAAAAGCATTTTTGCTGCTTTTAGCACAACCTTTTTTGTCAATTCACATTTATTTTGATTGGCACGCACCCTTTAAGTCATTGTTCAGTACCTCATAGCCCTTTCAAGTGTTATATCTTTCAAACAAGTTGTACAACTACAGCCCAGTTATACCTGTGTTTTGACTTTTCTGATTAGATCTTGTATTTGTAGTCTGACAGCATTTGTGGCTTGAGTTAGCGTAAGTGCGTTGTGTAAATGTCTTCTTTCTTGGTTTCGATGTTTCCACAGACGTCTTTGAGATGTCCTGCTTAAATAGCACAAGACATTTTTCTTCAAGCCTCCGAAATACCTCAAGTCTTATTTATTTGTTTTATTTAGCTTTGCCAGATTAGCTTCAGTGTATATGTATGCATCATACATGTTTAGCAGTTCCCAGAAAATTTTTAAGTTGTGTGACAAAAGTATTGTTGCCCGTGAGCTGACATTTATTATTTGGCCATTTTCAAACTTGTTTAATAAAGGTATGCACAGATAAGTTTAGAACACAAAGCACTCATTTGTAAACTCTTAAATACAATGTTTGCAGGCTTTTAAAGCAGACTGAAAATATCTCTCTTTCCCCTCTTCATCCTTGGGGTGGTGTGTTTGGTGTCCATTTCAAAGGGTCAGATTTCAAGCAGGACAAAGGCACATTTTAGAAGTCTGCCATTGCAGCATACTAGGCTCTTCCAGTGGGTTGAGCTAATCGGTTCTCACAAGCCTTCCAAAATAAATCAGGGTACCAGTTTATTTCAAGAATTGGGAGGGGGGGGGAATGTAGTTTGTAGAAGAGGAGTAAATCTATTTTTCCTTGCATGGCTTGCATCCATGTTAATGTGAGATGCTGTTTGTGGACTGATTCTTTATAATGGCACATTTTAAAGTTGTTCATAGCTTTTAACCAAAGTTGGTAAGAGAGATAAAGGAATGTTTGGTATTAATAAAAAGTTGGATAACTGCGTAGATGCCTATGTCACCTTGTCTGGAGGAATTAAACAAATTCCTACATGCAGTGTACAACCGTGGGCAGGCAGCAGGAAAATAATTGTTACGTCTTTTCCACTCGAAAATGAAACCTTTCTGCAGTAATTGTCACTTTTTCTTGGGAGCATCTCCATTGTCGCTCTTTCAAATCAAACTCAATGTAAGTGCAAATTGGGTTATTTGGGAAACGTTAGCACAGATATATAAGAATGTAGTCATTGGGTCCGGCTGGTATCATTTAGATAATGTATGTGTATTGCTAAAAGAAGTACAGTTCCGATTTTTGTTGTGTGAAGCATGCAAGAGTACTAAGTTGGTTTGTAAGGCGTTAACCTGGGACATTAAGGTCTCTGAGAGTATTGAGGCTTTTGGAATTATAGTTGCTTGATTGAAAAAAAATAATCTGATCAGTTCACTTGTAATCATGGTCCTGTGGGCCTTCATTTTGTGATCTCCATGTTCTTGTTTTGTGTAAGTGGTAAACTCCAGAGGAAAAACTGTCTGGAAGAAGTGGAAAAAAATGTTGTTCTTTTGTCAGATTGTATTCTAGGCAGTTTACTAAAATTGGTGACCAATCGGATATGGGCAAACATGATTGCCCTCAAATTTACTTGGAGGAAAAAAAGCATTTGAAAACAGATGTTTCAGATGCAACATCTGTGAAACATCTGCTGTACTAGGGGCAGTCCTTCAAAAGTAGGGGGTGAAGAAAGAATCTACAAATATCAGGTTGTTGCATGCTGCGAACTTTAGCTCACTTGGGTTTTCTAATCAGTCTTCTAGATAAGACTTGATGAGTAGCCTAAATCCTCAGATATCCTTGTTTAGGACAAAACCTCTAGACAAGACTGTCTTGAAACCAAAATAAGGATAAAAAGAAAATCAGTGTTGTAGGCATTGAAGATATAAATAGCCATTTCGGCAGCATGTCTGTTTTTTGTTAACTCTTGTGTACACTGTAGCTTGGAAGCACCACTTTTCTTAGTTAAGTCTGTGTCTACATGGGCTTTGTTTGATCTGTGATCATTGTCTTTGAGCACTGATAGTGTGGATTAGTTACAGGAAAACCAAACTTCCCTGAACTCCCACCACCTCACCTGCATTTATTGTAGTGAAAACAAAATATGGAATAAAATAGTGGTTTTCATTTCATGTTGTTGTTGACCTCAACCAATTTTGTGGTTGCCTTTCCCACAGGATGCGATCCCCCCCCACCCCCCAACAACTTCCTAGTTTTCATTATGATCTTTTCGATGACTTCCTCTATGAGGTTGTGGTTAGGATTGAGCCGAAATGTGTGTGATGGTATCTGTGCAGATGGACTGAGAGGAGGTGGAGTTTCCCAGTGAAGGAAGACTCATGGGAGTCAGATGATGAAGAGCTTCTCAATAACGTTTTCAGGGCTGATTCAGAAAAAAGCCTTTCTGAGTCTTCAGATATTATAAGGTTGTTACAGGACAGTATGTGGCAGTTTATTTTATTGTTGCATTTTTTGGAAACGTTTAATGTTTCTGTGATTAATTCTAGTATGACAGTCTTTGCCTAGGAAAATTCACACATTTACGTGTTTACATTTACGGATAGATATGCAGAACTAAAGTCTACTGCCTATCAGCCTTTATTGCCATTCCCTTTGAATTGGGTTTAATTGAGTTAGGTGCATTATCTGCTTTGTTAAAAGTAGTCACTCAAAACTTTCCCCTGCTTCCAAGAGATTGCCATTACATAGATTTTAAAATACTTGTTCCCCTTCGACTAAAAAATGACAGATAATCTGTTCACGAAGCCTTTTCCCCTGCACTGGCAGTGGCTTCATAGCATGTCAAACGCAAAGAATGGCGGTACTTGGCTCTGCCAGTATATTGTGTAGCTCTAGAGTAACGTTTATGGAGTGCTGTTCAGATTGCTTCTTTAACCAAAAAAGCTAAAATACAAAAGTGTAATGATTATGGATTTATGCCTTGGTCTTTTACATTTGCTGGTGTTGTTGGCAACAAGCTTGTGGATTGGCGTGTGATGATGCATGCTGGTTTAAAGGAGTTGTCTTCTTAAACACAAGTTTCTATTTCTTAAACCTTACGCTTATGCTGTAGTCAACTGAACTAAATTAAGAATTTCTAAAGAGTTCCAGTTGTGACTTATCTGTCTGGAAACCAGCTCAGAATGACATTATCGAGAACCTTTGTTTTTGTATTGAGGGTAATGAAAAGGTCCTATTTGAACATTTTTCTATAATCAGTGCTGGTATTTCAAAATGGTTACTGTTGTGATGAAACATACTGTATAGGCACTCACTGTCTCAAGCTCAGATGTGTGGTCAAGCCTGAATACCTTTTATACAGGGCTATTAGATTTACTCAGATCTGCACAGTTTTTTTTTTATAGATGAGCACAGGCAGCGAGTGGTTGCCTAAACTGGTTCCATGATTAAATCAAGGTGGAGAGGAGCCGTTGTTTTT